GAAAGTGTTGACAATAACGTTAAAAAAATAAACAAAAATCTTCGAAGGCATTTCTTGTGTTTTTGAAAAAACTGATACTAGAAATTCACGATATCAACCAAAACTTTCTTTAATATTTTTATGCGGTATCAGTATCACACTAATTCTACAGTAACGATATCTGAATTCAATCTCTTATATTTATCCCAATTAAAAGGTTTGTTTTTATGAAAAATTTATTAAATAAAAACTTTTTTTTTTATATGAAAAATTTTACTAAACTTTTTGAATAAATTAATTAAAAATAAAAAATTTCATTAATTTTACGTACATTATCGAGAAGTTTAGATTATATAATTTATAAATAGATAAAGCATACGAGAATTAAAATAAATTTACAGCCATTTATATTTCCGATCAAAGTGATTCAAATGATTTTTTTTTTATTTTTTCAACACAACTATATATTCTAAATTTCACAAATACTAATTTTATCTTTGTCCATTGCTGCTTGCAAATGAAAAACCCATGTGAAGGTGAATATAGTCATCATCACACTCATTTTCCAGCACAAAACCTCTATACACCGCAACGACCTCTGTGCCCTTTATAAAGCAAAAAATCATTACGATTGCAAAAAAAATAGAGAAAAAAGTGGGTTGAAAAGGCCAAAGCACACATATAACCATCTATATAAGTAGTGTGCAAGTCAAGTGAGTACAGAGACAGGGGGATTTAATCGCATGTGAGTCAGATGAAACAAATATAGCACTGATGACGGTCGATTTTTTATGTACACATGGTCTACTCCCGCTTTGCTTGACAATTATGTGCTTGATCAAGGGAATACAAATGTACGTATTACTGCTTGTGCGAAAGATTCGAGTGTGTTGTTGGACACGATTTTTTTTTCCGAGCAGCTGCTTTCCATGATCACACTTTTGTGTGCTATTGCTGTATTTATGATCGCACTGGTGTTACACAATGACTACAATCTCGTGGGATAGATGTTGCTTTTAAGTATCTCCTCCGCTGGTACCTAACTTCCTGTTTTTTTCCTTTTTACGATATCCACTATTTCAGATATGATTTTGATTGTTGTTTGTTGATTCAGTATTTTATTTTAAATCATCCATCACTCAGTTCCAGTTTTTTTACCGCTTTGATGCACATGTATGATTAAAAAATAACATAAACCATCGTATAATCGATAAAATCAGAGATATTACTCTTAGATTTCGTTCAAATAAAATTGATAATTTTTTTTTTTTTTTTTTTTGTCAGTAGCAATCGTCACGTTACAAAAAAAAAAACAAATATTTCAACATACTGCATTTACGTAAATGTGATAGTTTACAAATCTTTTGAAGCAAAAAAAAGCTGCGTTGCTGATTAATTTTTATTCGTACTCGTGAGCTCAGCTATCTCAAAAGCCTTTCGTCATAACTATTATGACAAGCGTCNAAAATTGATAATTTTTTTTTTTTTTTTTTTTGTCAGTAGCAATCGTCACGTTACAAAAAAAAAACAAATATTTCAACATACTGCATTTACGTAAATGTGATAGTTTACAAATCTTTTGAAGCAAAAAAAAGCTGCGTTGCTGATTAATTTTTATTCGTACTCGTGAGCTCAGCTATCTCAAAAGCCTTTCGTCATAACTATTATGACAAGCGTCTGCTGGAAAAGTTGGATATAATAAATAAAGATAAAAATAACAAGCGAACATTGGATCCATGTTAAGTAAGAAAATATATCAATTTCAATTCTGCCAGGCACGCGAATTTTATTTGCTTTCGTTTTCTTGAAACTTGTCCGCATTTATATATTTAAACGAGCCCCCATGAAAACAAAGACAATTTTCAAAATATACCGTGGTATTATAACAGATGATGAAAAATTTAATGATTCAGCAGAATAAGCCGTATAGCCTCAACGCTCAAGTGTGAATAGTTTCAATATTTCATGCTTACGACAAATCATTAAAAGATATACATTTTTAATGATCGTAGATTTTGAAGCAATATTTGAAATAATAAAGTTATAATTTTTTTTTTTTACTTTAATAATCTATGGTAATGTAAAAAAGTTATTGGTGATGTAAAAAGTTGAACCAATTTTACGTTTAATATACTTATTTAAACCTTTTATTTAGAAGCCCATTATATTAAATGATTTATTTCGGTCAAAAAATCTATTATTTGTACCCAAGAATCATAAAACAATTTTAAATCTTGTAACTTTCGCATGAATAAAAAGTTCTCAGACATAAATATTTACTTGGTGTATAAAATTCTCATGTCCTTGGATTTTTTTTCCATTTAGAAAAAAAAACAAAAAAAAAGAAAATTCACAAAAGCAAGGTTCTCATCCATTGTGTCTAGTAATGGTCGAGACGCATTCAGATCGAGGCTACCTAGCCCATGATATAAGTCGATCGACTAATTTTAGTTCGACAAATCGCTACAGTCTGCACGACAGCTTGATAATCACCTCGATAATCTTGTTCTTTCTTCACCTACAATTTTGTTGTGCCTAATTTAATTAAGATCCAAGTTCAAGATCTTTAGGTTTTTATTTTTCTTATTAAATTCAAAACAAATGTGTACGCTCGTATTGATGCTAATAAATCAATGTCAATATGATGTTTAAAGAAAAAAAAAAATAATAATAATAATAAATGAAGAAAAATTATCACACGATACTTTGAAGTGGTCGTATGATCCTCTGAATCAGCGGATGTGCTTTTCGCTAAATCCGTTGATAAACGCATTATGAGTCACGACATTACTCTCGCTATTCTGTAATTGAAGTAAATTTTATCTCCCTTCAATGTCTTATTGTTAATATCATTGAATTTTTAAGCAGTCCAGTGTGAAAATAAAAAAACACTTACTAAAATTAAAGATTCTCANTGTACCATATAAACACGCGTCTTTACATTGAATACATCGATCGAGACTTACGGTCTAGACACACTATACGTGTACGAATAGCTGAACAAAGCGTCATCCCTCTTAGACATTTTTTTTTTTTTTTAACGAACGTAAAGCACATACTATTGCTGACCTACTTTTTGTTTCTAGAGACGGTTTATGGGGTGCTGGTCGAAGATTTTTTATGTGCTAGAGTGAAAATAAGTTCACCAGTTGTAGTTAGACTACTTTTTTTCATTAGGAAAATTTTTTATGGTTCTCAGAATCATTCAGGTAAAATAAAAAGAAAGTGTTGTTAATTAGCAAGCTTGGGCATCGATCCTTTTTTTAACAGTTTTTTTTTAAAAGTATAATTTGAAGTTAATTTTAAAATGATTTTTTACTTTTTACTTTCACATGCTTATACAGTATCTTTTTTTTTTTTTATTTTGTGGAGGAAAACATTTAGATGATAATAAAAGAAATTTTTAAAAATATTTGCGTATTAATTCAGATACTTTTTTAAGTAACTTACTATGTAACAAAAATATTATCTCATAATTCATCACACTGTTTTTGGTTAAAAGTATTTATAATAATTATTTATTGTAAGTATTGATGAAAAAAAAAATCCAGTAAAAAAGAGTACACGACAGTTTCGTTAAAAAATTTTGTACTGAAGAGTTATAAAATTTATAAAATCATTTTTCCATAGTTTGTTAATAACTGGGCATGCACACAGTTAATAAAATTACTATATTAATTCATAAGTACAGTAATTGAAGAAAGTGTCTTTGTTCGCTTTATAGACACGACCAATGTACGAGAAAGTCTTTTTTATTTTTATTTTGTGGCAATTAAAAGTAATAAACTGGATAAACAAGCTCGGGTGAGCTCTGGCACTCAAAAACATCCCTCTTGTGAAATTGAGAATTAAGTAAAAATTTTACCCGAGACTTTTAAAGCTCTCACAAACGCAAGAAAAAAAATCTCGAATGAAACCCAACACCAAGTAATTAATAATTTTTTTTTTCTTCATTTTCAGACAAGTTAAAAGATGGCAGCTCTCACGAAACTCACCATAATCAAGCTCATCGAGCTCGTAAGTATATCATGTTTATTTTGTATGACATTGTTCTTTACGTCATTCCACACTTCATTCTCACATATCCTCTCCAAAAAATATTACTTTTTTTTATTTTTCGTACTCCGTATCAATACTGGTAATCTCTACATTTCCAACCTTATAAAGAATTTTAATAGTTAATAAATCGATTCTCGAAGATGCAGGTGACGCATGAATGGATGTATATAAATATACGCACCTTGAAATTTAATAATCCAAAAAATGAGTCATCGTTGAAGAGAAGTTTATCGATCGATTATCTCATTTGCACCCGATAAAATCAGTAAGCATGTAAATAATACAACCGTGAAAGACGAGTTTTTTGTCGTCATCAAACTATGACACGTGATTCATTTTTAGTATTTAATTGCATGATGAGTAATTTTTTATACGATTATGAGATAATTACTTTCAGGTTTTTTAACGTTTTTTTTCTATTTTTTTCCTCTGGCATGTGATTTTTATCAAAAAATATAAAATAGCATTCAATGATCTTACAAAATGTACCTTTGTGTGGAGAGTATGAAAGCTTTAATTAATTATAAATGTTTACATAAAGATAAATATCAGATATTGTATTTATAAAATTTATCAAAGTTACATGTATTTTTAAAATTTGTTAAAAGTTAAATTCAAAATTACCGTTGTTTTCGTGACGTTTCAACAAAAATCACATTGGAACAATTTTAACAAAAGAAAAGCATGAAAATCAACCATCACCTGTCAAACAGTTCAAAACCAACATTTAAAATTATTTGAGGGAAAAGTCACTCCCCAATAGCACATCACACCCGAAACAAGAAAGGCAGCACAAGCCGAGACAACAATGAATATTGCTTGTATGCTTACTTATTCCCTGTAGAAAGAAAAAAAAAAAAAAACAATTGCATATTCAATAGAGTGCTTCGCTCCGGAATGCGATGTACGAGCACATAATATTATGCACAACACGTAGCAGTCGGGCGTCGAATGATTATTTTGTTGCAGCACTTTAACCGGGGATGAAATCGAACGGCCTTTCATTTTCTTTGATTAACGCGTGCTTTGTATACATTATGCTGTTGTTGCTGTATATGATTTTCAATTTTCAATTTTATTTCTTTTAAATTATTACAACTACACACGGGTTATTTTTACCCTCGGAAAATTACGTAGTTGAGAAATAATTGATAACCTTCTTTTGCACAGGAGAATTCAACAAAAAACACGGTATTTTCGAAAAATCTGAATGATATTTTTATTTTGCAACGTACGAACGTACGTAAGTTGACACAGTACGTCAATCGAGCTCTACATGAGGGTATAAGCTAAAACATATTTATAGTAACATTAATGTATAGGCGGTAGCACGGTTTTCCCGTCGCATCTAGATAGTACTTCTTGGGGGGTCTTGAAGTGATCGATGAAAATATTATACCGTGTTAAATACTCACAGCTGTACACCCAAAGGGTAGAACCGCGTACTCGATTTAATATTATAATTTTCTGGCGCTCGATAACAGTTTTATTTTATATTTTTATAAAAAATAACCTCGGCATTCGCTAATACAGTTTTATTAAATTCACCCTTTCCTGCGATTAAATTTGTAGACGCAGAAAGTTAAAAATTAAAGAAAAATAATTGAACTTGGAAGCCTGAGCGTTTCGAAGAAAAAAAGAAAAACAAAAATAAAGTAAAAACAAACGATGTGGAACAAAAAAAATTCCCGAAAGTGCAACGATCCCGTTAAATCGGACACGTTGGAATAGCCGCTGGAAATCGGTCAGCCCGAGAGAGGCAGATCGCCCAGTTGAAGGAGCGCAAACTCTCTCGCTTGACCTGACACACATCCCACCTGCGAGTCGCTGCGATAATGCAACGCAGACACGTGCAAAAAAAAAAAAAAAAAAAAAACCGGAGGAGAGGAGTAAAAATGCCACCGCGTATCGGTTTTAAAACGTCGGCCGCGAAATTCGAGACTTCGTATATACTTGTATGTATACTTTGGAGCCGACACGGCAGTGCTGTCAGACTGCGAGGAACGAGGTCGCGGAGAACGGGTTTTGTGCTCTGAAAAAGTTAAGGTTGAGGATAGCAACCTGAGCCTTCGTTGTTGGTTACCCCGTATGGGTGTACTTGACTCTGTGATGTTTAAAATTAGATGCTGAATTACAATAATATTAAATAATAGTTACGATGATGGTAAATATTTACCATTATAAAAATATCAATGATTATGAAGACAGGAAATAATAATTATTATTATTACTATTATAATCAGATGTGAGCGCGATAATATTACATATACATTTCGAGTAAAACGTTTATCGGAAATGTAAAGGATTATTTTTGTTTGAAATATTTTTTATTACTATGTGTAATAAAACATTCTAAAAAACGATGAGTAATGCATTAAAAATAGTAGTGAAAAAATTTTTTCCTTCGCAAATTATGCACTGTGATTGTAGAAAACAATTGCAACAAAAAATACGAAAATAAATTTAAGCCCATTTATGCGTAATTGACACTCGTACATAAAAAGTTACAATGGGCGTGATAATTACAAAAATGTACATAATGAAAATAGTAGTGAAAAAATTTTAGTTCGTAAATCAATAATAGTACCTGATAGTCCATCCTACTGGAAACTTTCTAGCGGGCACAGCGATTGTAAACTATTCTATAGAAACTGTAAATATTATACATAAAGAATTATCACCATATGCTTAAAATTTAATGTGGATTGTTATGCTATTGTTATGTTGATAAGAAACTTAAGTATTTTCGATGGACTGTGCAATGGCACTAGACTGCATATAAAAAAATTATTTAAATATAATTTAGAAGCAGAAATTATAGCTAGTGAAAAATCTGGTGATTAGGTTTTCATTTTAAGAATCACGGTAAATATCGCTAATAATTTATCTTCACCTTTTTTATGTATACAGGAAACAGGTTCCATTACTTCTAGCTTTTTCCATCGCAATTAATGTATCACAAAGTCAAAATTTTAATAAGTTACAATTTTACCACAAAAAACCTTTGTTTCCTCATAGTCAACTATGCGTATTGGTATCAAGGTGTAAAAATCTTGAAAATATATTTATACAACATAATTCAGAGAACCAAGCAAGTATTGAAAACATTGTAGGAAAAGAAGTTTTTGATCGTTAACAATTTTACAATTTTTTTGTCAAAGCTTATTCCTTTTAATTTGTTTTTTTCCCTAAAAAGTTTATTTTTTGAAACATAGAAAATGGATCTTAAAAATNAATAATAGACACTTTTTGTATTCTTGAAAGAATTACCTAATGATGAAAAATCAGAAACAGTAAACTATGCGATTAATAATTAACCGCAAAAAAAAGATACGTGTCGTTGGGACGATTATGATTCCGTCATATCTGCAGTAAACGTTTCCTGCCTAGCGCTGTGAGCTGAAATCTAAAATTATCGCAATGCTGATGATAACATTCCATATTTATGACACGTGCGTTATGTCAGATGTTTTTTCACAGATCGGATAAAGTGTTAGTTCTCTAGGAAATTTTTTTGATTTCATTATTTTATTTATACAAGGCATATAAGTTGTTTTTTTTTCATAAAAAACAAAAAACATTGTTGTACTTCAGTATAATTTATGTCTCGTTATTTGTCCAACCAAAAATCATAGACCCAAGTCAAATATGTTAATAGTTACAACTGATATTGTGTAATTAAAAAAAAAAATAATTCAGCTTGATATGGAGTCATGTAATAAGTTTAAACCATTTACATTATGTATAAAAAAGCTATCCTTTGTTTACATGTTAGCAATCAAATTACTAATGCATTGATAATAAAAATAAATCACAAACACGGGTTTAAAATTGTGTAATTGCCTTCTATTTGCTTACAATCGATTTAAAATAAACGAATGGTTTAGATGTGCTCGTCTTCTCACCAAACATCGTAAACGCACGAAAACAGCTTCTATACATAAATAGTCCAAAATAAACCTTTACTCGATGAACTCGGATGAACTGAAGATCCCTCCAATGGCGCAAAGAGATAATAAATGAGGAAAACTAAAAGTTCAAAAGAAAAAAAGAAGCGCTCTTGCGTCGATATCTCTGTATGTATAAGAATAAAGTCTTGTAACTCCGATGTCGGCAGATCATTATTTATTTATACTAACTTTACGGAGGTGGGAGTTGTGTGCTGCTTTTACGCGTATACAAACACCAGCTACGAACAGTGAATGAGATTTAGCGTGTGTTCATATACATGTATGTGTTTTAAAGACTTGACGGACAAAGATTTTCGAGGAAAATGAATGTGTTGTGAAAATTATTCTCATCGAGTTGAAAAAGAAAAAAAAAAAAAAACCAGAGTCTGTTTGCAGCGAAGTTTCAAGGAAATCGCAAAATTAGACATGAATACCACACTTCGATTTCAGCCTTGCTACAAGCGAATATTCAAGGATCCTCTGATTCTTATTATCCTGCGAAGTATACACATTTTCTGTCATCGTAGCTGCTTTTCTAGCGTAAATTTTCTTTGAATTGTAAATTGTATACGTAACTTATACAGTTTTCCTTCACTCGCTTGAAAAAAAAAAAAAAAAAAAAGAAAAGAAAAAAATTGTAACATTACCCTTGGCTCAAATGACATGTTTGTAAAAAAGGGTTTAAATTAATATTTCTTAACCATTGACATGTGGCGATGAAAAAAAATTCCACCATAATATGCACGTCTCATAAACCATTACATTATAACCCTGACTCGTATCAAATGAACCCGAAAACCGTCACTTACGATGAACCATTAAACATAAATAAATATTTCCAGATTCTGGTCATCGTGCTCCTGGTGTTGCACTATGACACAGTCAACGGCACCTCGTACGAAGAGCTGCTCTCAATGACGGCGTTCGGTGGCTACCTCATCATTCTGATCGGTATCTTTGCCGGTGCGACAACCGGCACTCCCGTCAACCGACGAATCGTAAGATATTACCTCAGACGATCCACTCACTTATTCAAATATTGTATTAACATATTGCTTGCTCATCCCTACAGGACCTCTATTTCACCCTAGTCGGTTGCGTCCTGTTCATTGTGACCGGTATCATGATCTTCAACAACCAGCGCGTCAAGCACATGGTCCGAGGTATCCTTGCCGTGATCGAGGGCGTTCTGTTTCTGGTCGATGCCGTCTTCACTTTCAGAGGCGAGGCATAAGATGCCAGGGTGTATTCATCCCCCCCATTCCCTTCTCTCTCTCTCTCTGTCAATAAATTGTAACTACGTCTCTGTCGTGTATGTCACCCTCAAAAAGATGTTCTAGCGAGTTTCGTTGTCTTATTCCGTAAAATGTTCTTGAGACGGGAGAGATAATTCTATTTTTTTTTTTTTTTAACAGATTTTATGCAGTGCGTGTTCGTATTCCATTCGGTTTTGTTAGTTTCGTCAAAATGAGTTTTGTAAAAGTACTCCTTGAATTTTCTGTTAATAATACACTGCCAAAATAATATCGTTGGTGTAGTGTTAAACACTTTTTTTTTTTTTTTTTCAAAAAAGCGATCCACTAATCTTACTGGAAATTTTTTTTTTTTATCAATACTTGTAACATGATACTTTAAAAAATTTTTTATAAAGCAAAGAAAAGTACAATAAGTTTTTTTTTGTTTTTTTTTTTTATAAAATAAATATTTTTGCAAAAACATAACGTATTAAGTTTACTAAAAACATTTTTTATTAGTTCTGTTGTACAGGTAGTAGTAAAAAAAATATCAACTTTGGAAATAGCAGGACAAATTTGAAAAAAAGTGCAATGTCAAATTTAAAAAAAAATTATTCGTGCCCAAGTCTGCTACCAATCATAGCACGTACTTAATTCACCGAGTACATAGTTTTTTTTTCTCATAAGACTTTTTAACGTATTGTTTATAAATGTAACTTTTTTATTCACTGCAATAAAAAAAGAATCTCCATCTAGAACATCTTTTACATACGTTATAAACGTGTTCTACGTGCAAACAATGTCAAGGGGCTGCTGTTTTCTACCGAAACTAAAGGCCAGATAGTACACTATTGAAGCAACACCTATACTATATAGGTACAAAAACAATTTAGCAGAAAAATTATTTTTTCCTCTATTTGTTTACAAAAAAAAATTTTAAAATAATACTTATGATTGGCGTTCAATAAAACATTGAGGAACATAATTTGCAAAATTATTTTTTATTGTGTATGTCAAATAAAAATAATTTTGTGTTCTCATTTGTACCTGATGAAGAATGATTGATATTTTTGTTTTCTCTCTCTACTGAAGTGCCTTATGGTTATATATATATATATAGTACAAAGATAAACCTAAATGGAGAAAATATGGAAAATCTATTTATGAGTTATGTTAGTGGCAAGGCCAACACAATTCGGTTATTTGCAGTCCCTTTCTTAAGATAAATATATACAAAAAAATGTTATCGTCAGTACAATCATATATTTATAATCAATTAAGAGTATTAAGCCTCATCCATATTTAGTTATATTATACACTGTAAAATAGTGATGACAACTGTAACAATAACTTTTCATCGTTATCACGCATTTAAATTAAAAATTAATGCCATTTGTCATTTTTTTCGTCGTATGTTCGTATATTATAGATTGTAAGTGCAAAGATGGAAGATTATTCGTACGTGGCTCAATCTCCGACGGTAAATAAAACATATCTTTTAAATTTTTTATTTTAATGAGTACATAAAACAATTATTTTCTTTCTAACAATTACAATCTTTTTTTACTTATAAATTCACATGTGAACCCGCGCATTGTCGTTAACTACATAATAACTTGCAACGCCTTAAATGGCTTATGTATTGTAAGTGAGATCACAATTACTTAAATGCGTCGCATAAGATTAAATTAAATATGTAAATCCAATGACAGATGCAGAATAAGCACTTAAGATTGTAATGGTAAATTTTTTGTAACGCTACAAAGCTTAAAGAAATAAATGTTCAAATAAATTATGTTGGTTTTTATTTAATTATTCATGGCACAAAAATTAAAAAAAAAAGTCAAAATAGAAATCATAACACATTTAAAAGAAAAAGTTATAATTGTACACAATCACACGTATGGACATTACATTCAGAGTAGGAGGTAAGATCTGAAGCTTTTTTACTACTCCTGACCCCGTATAGTGTGGTGCATTTTGGGATTTCTTGTCAGGATGGATAAGTGTGAAGAAAAATGATTGCTTGTCGATTTGTTTTGGAAAACTGGTTAAAAAGTAAAAAAGAAATTGTTGAAATAGTATTTTTGGTTAAAAATAAGTAATTAAGGCCATTAAGTTATGTCTGTCAATTTTTCATTGGAAACGCAAGATTTTTACATCGTTGATTGGAATATGGCATGAGAAATAATTTTATATGCTATTTAATCCACTAGGTAAAATAACAAAGAATATTTCACATAAATTTTTTTTCATGTCAAAAAAAATCGATAAAAAGGAAAAATGTCAGAGTTAAACGTGAATATCTAAAAAAAAACTATTTTTAGAAAATCAAATTTATTTAAAAAAACCATAAAGAGATGTATGATTACATTTTAATTTTTCTGCCGCCAAATAATTCATAAACGAAAATTGTGAGCCAAAAAATATTTAAAATCAACAAATGAGTTCTGATTAATGATTTATCACACATATGCGCTCATACGCAGGCATCTTCCGAAAATGACTTATTATGATTCATCAAGTAAGTCTATCAAAAACTAACAAATATGCTTTATTGCGTGAGAGTATAAAACTTATATTTCACATACAGTAAAAATAATACAACACTATATTGCGTGTAATTTTAGGTAAGACAAACAAACAGATGATAAAAAAAAGGCTAACTCTTGAATATTTTGTAGATAGAAATCGTAAGATGACTATTTCCATACAGCGTAACTACAAACTTTACGAGATTGGCACCATTATTGCCACGTATGATATTATAACACTTATCATCTAAAAATACACACTTTGCTCGTCATTTAAAACATGTATTTTTGCATACTAATAGTATTTTTAATGTTTTAATGTAATTAAAGAGCATTTAAAAACACTTACCGAGACAAGCCAATATTCATTTATTCGAAAAACATCTAAAGCCTCGAATCTGATTTCTGAACTTTTGCAGCGGTAGGAAAATAGCAATAGCTGAAATAAATGTTTTAATTTTTTAGTTACTCATAAATAAAATATACCATCTTTACTTACTTACCTGATATGATAAAGTCTTAGATTTAACACTATCATTATACATCAAACAATTGACTAATACGTCGTGAATATTTTTAGTCTGAATAAAAGAAAAATTTTTATATTAGCAATGAAACAACAATTTTTAAATAGTTTTGTATTACCTGTTCAATTACTGAGCTCGTAGACTTAGTTAATAGGAATAAAATAATAAAGCTGTGAAAAATGGATATTGATAATTTTATAAGACGTCCTATTGTAGGAGAACAATATATAACTGGTATCACCGTGTGGCGAATATAATTTAAAAGGGTTAAAAAATAATCTGTGATGCACAGAAAGATTGATAAAGAGTAAAAATTGGCTATTTCATTTGATACTTCAACTAATAATGTGTATTTTTTTTGCAATTTCACTATGGTAAGTATTTTTTCTCGTTCACTTGCATAATCCAATAAATCCAATCTCGTGACTCTAGTAGACGATTCAAAAGTGTTTTTTAGATGATGAGAAATCATTTCAAATGATTCTTTAATAAAAGTGCAAAAAAAGATATACTGTAACACAATGGCATCTATTATCAATCTATTAATCCCTCGTGATAAAAAAAAAGTTAAGACTTGCCAACCATAAGATGAAAATCTTTTATTTTTGACAAAAAAAAATAATTGTAAAATATACCCCATCAGTGGAACACAAACAGTTCCTATGTTTGGAGTTATAAATTTCTTGTCTTTTATATAATTTTTAGATATATATACTGCTTTGTTTACTAAATCTAATTTTGTGAAAACAGTAATAGCTGTGTTGTGTTTAATAATTAATTGAATCACTATAAAATTAACTGCCACCATTTCGAATGTATATGTAATTCTCGAGTACGCTTTCATGATCAATGGCATATCCACAGCTGTTACACGTGATAATGCATCGTAGGCATCAAAATAATTATGTATGTTTAGATATGATAATAAACAAATATTGTAAGCAATTCCAATATAAGAAATGCCAAATGACCAGCGTTTCAAATTATTATTAGTAATTCTTGGGATCTCTTTAAAAGTTATTGCTGTGGTCCCCAGCATTCGATTGTAGAAGTAAAATAATTTTATTAATGAAATCTTCAAGTTTTTGATTCCTATCCTTGACATCAATTCAGCAAACATTGTAGCTATAGTAGTTATCAGCTGTTTCTCCAAGGGGTAATTTAATTATAGAAACACACTCTCTTTAATGACTACACTTACTTTTGCAAACTTTGTCAAGTAAAAAACGGTTAATACAAATTGGAATTGTATTGTATGATAATGAAGTTTAATGTTAATTTTGATAGAAGTTAATGAGCTGCGTAAAATAGTGTAATATAAAACAGTACGTATTAAACGGTTTTTCTTTAACGATGAAAAACTGACCCGTTCGAATGATTCCGTACAATTGACTAATAATCGAACAGTATTCTGAGGAAACAGTAAAAACCTACTGATTTCTTAATAATTTTTTTAATCAGCAAATGCATATTACAATTCACTACCTTTCATATACTTTAATGACAGTATGCAAAGTACAGTTGAGTACATTGTGGATTATTAGACAAACCAAAAAGTGACGAGTCACTAACATAAAATGTGAACTTTATAAGCATTAGCCACTTTTGTGAATTAAATGTTAAATTATTAAACGTAGTTGTGCTACGCTATGTATGCTATCTTGTTATCTTGTTTTTGGAGCCTATACAGAAAGTTAGAAAAAATATAACACTTTGATGTTTAAGGTATACGTGTAATTAAAAAAAGTAAACATCGAAAGGGCAAACATTTTTTTACCACTTTTACTTAAGAAAATAATCTTACTTGGTGCTCTTAACTAAAGTAGAAAATAAAAAACAATAAGTGGTTGAGATTTCCTTCATATCCTTCGACACAAAAAGTGAAAAATTTATATAAAGTATTCTTTGATGATGTACCAAGTGGGTTCAATAGCATAATTTTTTATTTTTCATAAGACGCTTTAGCGTAAGAGAATCTCGATCTATAGAATTTTTTACGTATGTCCCAAACTGTCCCTATTGTATGTGCAAAATGTCAAGGGGTTGATGTTTTCTACTGAAGTAACAGACCAGTTAGTAAATAGCGGCGAAGTAACACCCATACTATTGGTACAAAAAAAAATCAAGCTGAAAAATTCTCATACCCTCTATTTGTTTATAAACAAATGTTTAAAACAATGCTTATACGGTTGGCGTTTAATAAAACATCAAGGACAATAACTTGCAAAATTATTTTTTACTGTGTATGTAAATAAAAGTAATTTAGTATTCTCATTTGTTAACATTAATCATCAAAGTGTGACGTTTTCTTTACCCTTCTATGAGATCTGAAAATAAGACAGCATATATAGCGTAGCACAGCTGGGTTTAATAACTTAGTATACAATTGACAAAAGTGGCCAATGCTTACAAAGTTCATATTTCATTTTTGTGACTCGTCACTATGTCTCATCTAATAATCTAAATGCACTTCACTACATTTTACATACTGCCATGGAAGTTTATAAAGGATAGTTAATTGATATACATGTGATGATTAAACAAAATATTAAGAAACCAATAGGTTTCTACTGTTTCTTTAGAATACTGTTCGATGATCAGTCAATTCCAGGGCACCTTTCTAGTGGGTCAGTTTTTTATGTTAAAAAAACCGTTTAATAGTTGATTTTAAATATTATACTATGTAATGTAGCTCGTCAACTTTCGTTGAAGTTTACATTAAAATAATTAATAACATAACTCAGTTCTAATTAATCGCTTATTACACGAAAAAGTTTGCAGAAGTAAGCATAGTTATAAAATAGAGTGTTGTTTTGTAATTTAAGTAATTTAATGTTTTAGTTGATAACTACTATAGCTACAATGTTTGCTGAATTGATGTCAAGGATAGGAATCAAAAACTTGAAGATTTCATTAATAAAATTATTTTACTTCTACAATCGAATGCTGGGGACCACAGCAATAACTTTTAAAGAGATCCCAAGAATTACTAATAATAATTTGAAACGCTGGTCATTTGGCATTTCTTATATTGGAATTGCTTACAATATTTGTTTATTATCATATCTAAACATACATAATTATTTTGATGCCTACGATGCATTATCACGTGTAACAGCTGTGGATATGCCATTGATCATGAAAGCGTACTCGAGAATTACATATACATTCGAAATGGTGGCAGTTAATTTTATAGTGATTCAATTAATTATTAAACACAACACAGCTATTACTGTTTTCACAAAATTAGATTTAGTAAACAAAGCAGTATATATATCTAAAAATTATATAAAAGACAAGAAATTTATAACTCCAAACATAGGAACTGTTTGTGTTCCACTGATGGGGTATATTTTACAATTATTTTTTTTTGTCAAAAATAAAAGATTTTCATCTTATGGTTGGCAAGTCTTAACTTTTTTTTTATCACGAGGGATTAATAGATTGATAATAGATGCCATTGTGTTACAGTATATCTTTTTTTGCACTTTTATTAAAGAATCATTTGAAATGATTTCTCATCATCTAAAAAACACTTTTGAATCGTCTACTAGAGTCACGAGATTGGATTTATTGGATTATGCAAGTGAACGAGAAAAAATACTTACCATAGTGAAATTGCAAAAAAAATACACATTATTAGTTGAAGTATCAAATGAAATAGCCAATTTTTACTCTTTATCAATCTTTCTGTGCATCACAGATTATTTTTTAACCCTTTTAAATTATATTCGCCACACGGTGATACCAGTTATATATTGTTCTCCTACAATAGGACGTCTTATAAAATTATCAATATCCATTTTTCACAGCTTTATTATTTTATTCCTATTAACTAAGTCTACGAGCTCAGTAATTGAACAGGTAATACAAAACTAATAAAAAATTGTTGTTTCATTGCTAATATAAAAATTTTTCTTTTATTCAGACTAAAAATATTCACGACGTATTAGTCAATTGTTTGATGTATAATGATAGTGTTAAATCTAAGACTTTATCATATCAGGTAAGTAAGTAAAGATGGTATATTTTATTTATGAGTAACTAAAAAATTAAAACATTTATTTCAGCTGTTACTATTTTCCTATCGTTGCAAAAGTTCAGAAATCAGATTCGAGGCTTTAGATGTTTTTCGAATAAATGAATCATTGCTTGTCTCGGTAAGTGTTTTTAAATGCTCTTAGGATCAAAAAATTTGAAATTATTTAAAGTATGCAGGAATAAATGCATAATATATTATGAGCAAAGTGCACATGATACTACATTTTTAGATCATCTATGGCATTATAACATATGTGGTTATTATACTGCCGGTTTCGAGATAGTTACATAACCATGCTATGGGCAAAAAATCATCGTATGGTTTCTCGCTACGTAATGTTCCAGTGTGGGCTTTTTTATAATATTTTATATTATTGTGTTGTATGACTTTTGCTATATGCAAAGTGTGAATTTTATACTATTGCACACATTAAGTAATTTATAGTATCTAAACCTACATTTGTCTTTGATGAGCTGCTTATGGTTAAGAATAGATTACTATTTCGTTAATGATACCTTTTATAATTGTATGTGATATAGTTCTGGGCCTTCTGATATATTTAAATGTATTGGAATCGGTAATAAGATAATCGCTTGTAGGTACATTAAAAAAGAGAAAAATTAGATGTACACTTTTATGTTTATTTCCCCGCCCTTGCCACCAACGGCTCACCGATTCCACTTTACTGTCATAACTTTTTCTCTTCTCATGTCCTCCTTGCACTTAGGGTTAATTCGTCTTTCTTTCTCTTTCTCTCTCACTTTTCTATATAATAGTAATAATCATAAAATAATAAGATTCGTCTTATACTCCGTAATAATATAAAAAACTCCTCTATTCTACTCTATCCTCTCTTTTTATGAAACAAAACTGTGTCCGAGTCAAGTACGTCACTCTCTGAAAGATATTCTGGTAAATTTTGTTGTCTTGTCTTATAAAATGTTCTTGAGCTGTACTTGTGTTAAAAGAAATTACTTTTTTACGAGTATCTATTTGTGCGTGAGTAAATTGTTGTTAATTTGTTTTTACTACCATTAAAATGAGATTTAAAAAAGAACTACTGGCACTTTCTGGTAAAAAAATACTGGCAAAAAATTGCAGTACATTTTCGTGTCCAAAAAGTATTGTTCTTAAGTCTTCCTATAGATATTTGTATACTGTTCTTAGGTAAATTGACAATTTTTTTTTACGAAAATATAGTGCATTGACTTTATTAGAAAATTTTTTTTGAAGTTCTGTATTATACGTAGTAATACCAAAATTTCCCGCACAAATTTAGAAGAAAAAAATTGCCGTGTAAAGTATATGTGTCCAAGTGTTTTTCATTAATGATTAAAACACGCAATCAGTTTATCGAGTACATTTTAATAAATATTAGTGTGTTGTTGATTTATGTCGTCTTTCAGTTTTTTACAATAGAAATACATGTCTGAAAAAAATGTTTTTATTTATTTTTTTTTTATTTATTCATTAATTGCAGTAAAGTTCTAAAACAAAGATATTTAAAATACTTTGTTTACATAAGTTCACAATTTAGGGAAGTGAATAATAATTACAAAGTCAATGTATTACTTTCATGACTCGTCACTTCGTAGCACCTAACGAATTTCAATGTACTCTGCTGTAATTTGCATACTGATCTAAAAGTGTCAATGAATAGAAAGTTGATTTAAATTTATTTTTTAAAAGAATTATCAAAAATCAAAAGACTTAAATTATTTAGTAGAAGAATCAAAAATTTATGTGAAAAATAATAAATGGGTATCACGAAGTGCAAGACAGTTTTGTATTCCACTGTTTAAATGTACTACAAAAGTATTTACAACAATTGAAAATGTAATTTACGTATCTCGTGGAGGAATAGTAGTTTTCCTACGAGTTTGAAAAGTCTCTGTTTGCGAACCGAGAGGTTTGCGGCCCGAGCCGAAGGCGAGGTCCGTAACGAGGTTCGTAAAGGAGACTTTTCGAACGAGTTCCGGAAAACTGCTTTTTCGCCCGAGGAAGTACCAGCCTCCCAAAACCACCCGAGGGCGGAAATAGTAGTTTTCCTACGAGTTTGAAAAGTCTCTGTNCAAACTCTCTGTACACGGCCTATCTCTGTCAACTTATATATATCTTTTTATAAATTAATTAAAAATTATTCAAAATACAATTTCATATAAAAATCATACTCATGTTTTTTATCGCCATCACAAGTTTGATGTTAGAATACTGATTCATGGCTTGAGAAAATTATTATGTTATAACTAAGTCTTCTTAAAATATTTTTATGGTAATAAACAATATCCCAACGTTACATATTTTCTAAGATATATTGATATTCATTAATAATATTTAATCGGTCAGGACAGTGTGCTACGTAATAATAAAACGTAAGTTAAAAAGTTTGTTCTCAAAAGTTTATGATTATTGATGATAAACTATAAACACTAATTACCAAACCAAATTTTTTATAATTTTCTAATAGAAAATTAAATTTTAAACAACAAAGTTTGACATCATACACATCTACACGCATTATATTAGGATTTAAAGGGTGCCTTTTCCACTCATCACCTGACATCCCCATAACTCTTCAGAAAATGTGGAAAAATTCGTCTATTTTCTCCATATTAAGTTTTTAATGTTTCTGTACTACTAGTAAGCATTAAATAATTTGATTTTTCTCAGCAAAGACCTCTGTGGCTTCTTAATATTATCATCAAAGTGGTGAAATGAAACAAGCTCTAATGAAAAAACGTATTTATTTATACAAAAATCCGTATCAACTCTTTTATGTACAAATCGTAATTCGAAAAATGTTTCACTTTACAAAAGCCAAAGACAGATTGCACAAATCCTCATTCTTCAAATGCCCAAGAATGGCTTCCAAACACGGATCCGGCAAATCTTGTTCAATGATGTACAATAAATACTCCTTCGACGAGTCAAAAACGATCGATCTCAGCAGACCCTTCAAAAATTGCCTAACGATTATATTTCCGTACAAATGAAACTTTAGCCGAGGAATTGACCTAATAGCCCGTCTAAAGTCCTCGTTTTTCACCCTCACTGCGATTTCGTTGACACCAAGGAACATCAAATCGTAAAAAGACGCGTACCTATCGACCCACGTGCTCTGTAACCGTTTGATTTCATCTTTACAACGCTCTACATGAGCTCGGCAGTGACGTGACATGGAATTAAGGACATCGGACCTCAGAAACTGCCGTCTCACGTGGTTCTCAATCGGGAAGCCCGCAATCTCGAGCTTAACCACATGTTCGAAGACGATGTTCAACTTTTCTCTGTTAAAAAGCATCGAATTCTCGGACGTCAAAAACGCCAGGTTTATCCGGTTGATGTCGCTAAAGTCTAGAAGTCGACGCAGATCTGCGACACTACAGTTCTCCAAATGCCGGACCTTCGAATCTCTGGCCAAGTATCGCAGCATCAGTAGCTCATTACTGCAATTGATGTCCAGTTCCTCCTTGCGCTCGAGCATCAGCGCGATTATGTCGAGGAAGTTCTCCATGTCGGAGAACTCAAAGCTGCAATTGACCATGACGTCTTTCCTTGGCACTTTGTAGTGAAAAAAACTCACGCTGTCCATGGAAGCGTAATAGTCGAGGAGCGTTCTAACGGTGTGAACGTAATACGAAGATATGGCCAGCTGGAGTGGTGTCTGTCCATTAGCGTTCTTCGCGTCTGAATCCGCGCCGTACTGGAGCAGCGAGTCCACAATTTCAGCTTTGTCCTCGTCTCCAAGGTCCTTGTCTTTCGCGTGCATCGAACCGATGTAATTGGTGAACAATCTCTTGCCATCTATCACTAGATGTATCAACGTCTCTTTGGACTCGTTGGCGAATTTGACGTCGGCGCCGTTCTCCACCAGAACGTAGAACTTCTCCTTCTGCGCGATCTTGAACTCCTTCAACAGATCCTTCCACGTTGAATCCTGGACGTCCATTTTGTCCCCGATCGCGCTCCTAATCCCGTCAAAGTCAGACTTGAAGGTGTGGAACAACGGTGGGGTGTTGTTGGCGTCCAACGCGTCCACCTCCCCGCCGTACCTCAGCAACAGCCTGACAATGTCCAGCTGGTCGTTTTTACCCTTGACGAAATGCACCAGGTCGTCCACGCTCTGGAGATCCTCGTTGCCGATGGCTTCACAGATTCGCTTGTAATTGTACCGGCACGCCAAGTGGAGCGGCGTTCGCTTGTACCTGTCCCTGGCGTTGACGTTGGCACCGTATCTAAGCAGCAACTCGGCCACCTCGAAGTTCTCGTACTTGACGGCCAGGTGCAACGGCCGGTAGAACACGTAGTCCCTGCCGTAGAAGCACTTCTCCAGGTAGACGTTGGCGTTGACACCCCGCTGGAGGAAGGCGTGGGCCACTTGCCAGTTGTTCCTCACGCAGGATATGTGGAAGTGGGACAGACCGTACACGGTGAAGGGGTTGACGGAGCCGTCGCACCACTGCAGCAGCAGGTCGATCATCTTCCTGTTCCGCATTTCGAAGGCCATGTGCAGGGGCGTCTGTTTCAGGGCGTTGAAACTGTTGACCTCGGCACCGGCCGATAATAGAACTCTCGCGGTTTGGAGATCGTTGGCGAACACGGCCACGTGCAACGGGCTCTCGGACCCTTTGTCCAGCTCGGGTATGTTGATTGGGCAACCCTCGTTCATCAGCCACATGATGGAGCCCCTGTCCTTGTGCAAGATTGCGTCTTTCAGGGACTCGTATCTTGACTCGTAGTCGTCGTCGTCGTAGCGGGATCTTTGGTGGTTTACCGGGTTGTCGGTCCGGTAATTGTGCTGAGCGGGGGACACAAAGTTGCTGCTCATTGTGTTTGTTTCAGTTGCAATTGCTATCGATGATCTGTTGCAGGTGATGGAGAAAGGATTGCGCGATCATTTGTACGTGCCGTCATTGGTGAGCTTTGATTTTTGCTAGTACGTCAGTTCTGAAATAAATGTGAGTGCAGTGAGTGTCATTTGTTGAATCAATCCTATTAGTGGAATCGTAAGGAAATAGTCACCATTGAAGTAAGAGGTGGTAGTTGCAAGGAGTGGAGTTTTACGTTCGAAGTTTTTGTTTGAAACACGTATGGCTTTTTTAACAGAGCAGCAATACATGAAATCGATATTTATGTTGGTAAACTACTTTTGAACCTGATATTAATAGTCTAACTAGAGGTTGTCTCGACTTCTCAATTTCAACAAATTGAATTAGAAATGAGCTTCAAACTTTAAATTTTCGGTTAAAATCAACGTAAAAATCAGTAAAAAAATATTTTTACGACACCACACCTGCATTGTTTAGTATAGATACAATACACGTATTATAATAATATTAAATAAATCATGGAAATTTGGTTTCGTGGTGAAAAAAAATTTATCATAGACGGCGTATTTCGATTGAGTAAGAAAATTAAAAGTGTGAAAGTAACAACGTTGACATTTTTCGGAAAACTGAGTGTTGGTCTCTTGAAAGTTTATTAAGCACTTTATTAAGCACTTTACTGAAAAAATGTATGAATTTTTTAAAAAATGTATAAAATTTAATTAAAATTGTTTTTTCTTCTTTTTAAACTGAATACAAAATTTTTTTTTAATTATTAACATATTAAAGTAGTCTTTTGTAAAGTACTTATTTGTCTTACAAGTTTTAAGACCTTTTTTGTTGAAAGTAAAGATCGTTGNTTTCTTCAAAAATGGCGACTCTTACAAACTCTCTGTACACGGCCTATCTCTGTCAACTCTGACTCTACTAACTCTACATATAGATATAGGTACACGCCCGGAGTGTGGCGCCCCCAACGTTTGTGTGCGTTTATCATTCGAAAAACAAGCTGATGGTGATATGATGGTGGCCTAGAGAGAGAGAAAAGAGGAGGACCTAAAAAAAAAAGGTGCGACGTGAGAAAAAAAACGGGAGAGCGAAAGGTGCCGTTTCGTCCGCGCGCGTTGCGTGTGTGTATGTGTTCATCTTTTTCCTTTCTTAACGGCGTAAAATTAAAGATTTAAAAAATTGATATAAATAAAAAAAAAAGATTTACTCGTGAAAAAAACTATACGAAGTTTAACTATATATCAATACACATAAAACTTCAGTTTTACTCTTTTGATAAAAATTCACCGATTTTTTAAAAATACTTTGAGAGATCTTTTTTGAACTTATAAAGATTAGAGTTACAACAGCTGAAATTTCGATTAACGATAAAAATTGGTAAAAAACGCCAATGAGTTTAACAAAATGACTCGTATTACGTAAGTATGAGAAATTCATCAAAATTATCAAGATCACCTATATTTTAGTTAAATTTTTTTTCTTGGAAAAAAATGGCATAATTTGCTTACTATTTTATAAAATTAAATATAGTATTATCTGTGACCATTTAGGTTTTGTATTAATTAAGACACTAGTTACTTGTATCTCTAAATATGATTCATTCATATACTGATATTTAAAATTTTATACGACATTGAAAAAGCAAGAAAAATCTTTTTCATTCAATTTCTCATGCGCGAATTTGTTTTAGACACAAATAAAAACAAAACTTTGTACCCAAGCTTTTTAAACTCGTAATTTCTATATTTCATACGAGTATTGCCTGGTACCTGTTGCATTTCGATTGTTAAATTATTATTGAAGCAATGGACGTAGCTTAAAAAAAGCAACACAAACTAATTTATCGATCTGACTCATGGCTAACATTCGTGACTATAATTATACGCCTAAGGTCAAGTTCCGAGCAATAATATAGATATACTGTTGAACAATCAGTGGAGGCGCACGTGTTTAAACTGCAACCTGTATCAATATAGGCGTTTAAAATGTTATGAACCGAAGAAATTATAAAAACAATAAACAAAACTGAAAGCTATATTGCACGAAACTCAAGTTCAGAACTCAAATATTTGGTTATCTTTTAATTTTCAATGTATTGTTAAATGGGACGCCATTAACGTTTTTATAAACAAGAATGCAAACCACATGTGTTATTCGCTAAAGTTTATATCACCTAGTTTTGTAATTTACGATTTGTAATAAACTTGTGATGGTAGAAAATTCCAAAAAAAAAATTACTTTCAAAAATGTCACAAAAAACACGGAAAAATGTCATTATAAAAACTTTTCATTCCAGAATTTAAAAAATACCTGATGATTTTATTTAGTTTTAGTCATCAAGTAACACATGAATCATTTCGGACAAATATTACATGTGTTAGAGAACAACACGAACAACCGAAAATACGGTAAGGTGAAAAATGGTAAAGTGTAGTACACAGTGTTACGAGGGGGGAAATGGGGGGCAAGTGTTTGGAAAAATTATTGTCTTACGTAAGCTTCGAGACGCAAAAGCATCTTATTCGGGGCAGGATTACAATAAAAATAAATGGTCTCGATGACAGCCGCCAGGCAGCGCGCGTCTTACCGAGTATATAAATTAAAATTTAATGAATCGCTCGCGATGATGCGCTATGTATGTATATGACCTGTACGCCCTCGTCTTTGAGTTTCGGAGGGTATATAATGTGCTTTGCGAAAGTCGAAGCTAGCGCTGATTTTTTTTTTGATATTGTTTTTTTGTGTTATTGGGTCGGCTTACCAAACTTTAATTTTTTAGTAAATCGAAAAATTTTTTTTTCAAATTCATCGGATATGGACCTTTATTGCGCTTGTGTGCTGAAGCGGCAAATAATTGACTAAAATATGTTAACTGAATCAAGTTCAAACAATTTGTTTATTTTGTTGTACATTAACCTATTTTTTTCAAAGATGCTTACAAAATTTTACACGAACTGAAGAAACTTTAAGTTTTCAGATTTAATTATTTGTGCTACATTCGATATAGAGAGAACGATTTGACATCTCGATGTTGATGATCGTTTCGTCGATAATAATTGAACTGCTATGACCTTTTCACAGATTCAAATAATTTGATTAATAAATTTTACTATAAAAATTTTAATTAGAGAAAAACAAAAGTTGAATGATCGTGATTTAATTGACAAAAGAATTTTATGATTCTTGAGGTTAAATTGTTTTTTAATTAATTATGGGTATTTCTAATATACTTCTCCTTAAGGTTTACTTTATACATATTTTCATTACTAATTATTGGCTTATGTAACTACTTACACGTATCAGTTGGCATTGATTTTTCTTAAACAAAAGGAATTGTTTCTCAATAAATTCCATGTTTCTTACAAGTAACGTTGTTGGTCAATCATGCAATACCATAAATTATTTTCGTTTAATTGATATTTTTTTTAAACTAGTACTCATAAATTATAAATATATACTTGTTTAACAGCTTATTCTTTGAAACATTACTTGCAATTCGCATATATAGTAATACACAACTTGATGTATGTATCCTTCCTATCCATCTTAATTGCAAAAACTTACTGTTAATCTAACAAATTTTTCTCTCGTACATAAATACTATACTGCGAACTTTCTGTTGTGGAATTAAAAAGATTCATCCTTTTACACGAACAAAGGAGTAGCTAAACAATACATTAATTTGTAAGCTTTGAAAAAAGTAATAAAACACAATAAATAAACAAAATCTCGTTCGCTGGTGCGGAAGAATCATTTTATAATTTTGAAATTCCCGCTCAGTGTTTCTTCAAAAATGGCGACTCTTACAAACTCTCTGTACACGGCCTATCTCTGTCAACTCTGACTCTACTAACTCTACATATAGATATAGGTACACGCCCGGAGTGTGGCGCCCCCAACGTTTGTGTGCGTTTATCATTCGAAAAACAAGCTGATGGTGATATGATGGTGGCCTAGAGAGAGAGAAAAGAGGAGGACCTAAAAAAAAAAGGTGCGACGTGAGAAAAAAAACGGGAGAGCGAAAGGTGCCGTTTCGTCCGCGCGCGTTGCGTGTGTGTATGTGTTCATCTTTTTCCTTTCTTAACGGCGTAACCTGTGCGTATAATACTTGTCAGTAATACATATTTATCAAGTCAAAGAGGTGCAGTCTCAGGTGGCCCTCAGACCGCGGGCGAAAACACGAGCATCGTCGTTGTAGCAGCAGTTCCAGTAATAACCCTGTATATACATCACGTACACACACATTTCTCGTGCGTGCGTGCAGCAGTGCGTTGCGTGTCCGATACTTGGGCAGCTCTCCCCTCGCCCTACCTTGCCCCCTGTTCTCGTCGCGCTGTAATAGTTTGGCTCTCTCTCTCTGCGAGTGCGAGACGAAAGGGAGCACCGAGAAAGATATATACTTAGCCAAGGAGAGCCTTGGCCCCTTGTGGCGCGCGAGCTGCGCTAAGTATACGGCTAGAGCGGAGCCGTCTAGGAGGAGAAGAAACGAGCCTCTGCATGTAGAGCCCGCGGGCGATCCGGAGCTCCAGGCGGTGTGTGTGTGGTGTGTTAGTTCTCCTTTTCCGTCCAAAGTCCGAGGAGGAAGAAGGGAGAAGCCGCGCAACAAATTGCAAGAACAAGAAGAGCAGCAGCCCAAAGAAGAATTGAGCCAAGAGATGGTCCAGCTGCAGGCAGGCCGTCCAGTCTGCATTGGTTAGCTCCGTCTAACCCTAGCTCACCCAGGAGAGGGTTTTGCACAATAAACACGCGAGAAGATACGTGTAGGCTCAGTGTGTTGTAGCGAGGAATACCATTGTCGTCGGTCGTCGTCTGCGCGCGCGCGTGTGTGTGCGTGTGAGATGCAGTGTGTCTGTGCTATGCGTGTGTGGACTGTGGTGCGTTGCCTATTTGGTATTGCCGTTTATGTTACATTATCCACAGCATAGCACATCACCGTATTGGCAGAGCAGTATAGCGGCGATAGGCCGTAGGGCTAGGAAAAAAAAAAATAAAAAAAAATAAAACACGAGTCGACCCTCGTCATCGGGAGGAGCCTCTTCTTCGAGTGAGTTGCCCACCCTCTCCCCCTCCCCTTTTGCCTGGAGCTAAGAAGGAGAAAGTGGAAGACAAGCAATCCGCTGGAGACCACCAAAAAAACCACGACGACGAGGACGAGAGCTGTGGTTGCTGCCAAGACGGCCAAGACGACGACGACGACGAGTGGCACAATGGAGCTGCGCGTCGGCAACAAGTTCCGGCTTGGCCGCAAAATCGGCAGCGGCTCCTTCGGCGACATATATCTTGGTAAACTGCCCCTAATCTTCCACTTTTATTTTATTTTATTCGCCGTTTTCTAATCGACATGGTTCTTGTTTCGTTTCTGGATTTCAGGCACAAACATCTCCACCGGGGAAGAGGTCGCTATCAAATTGGAATGCATCAAAACGAGGCATCCACAGCTCCATATAGAATCCAAATTTTACAGAATGATGCAAGGTGGAGGTGAGACTTGGAAAAATTTTTGGGTCTGTTAGTCTTTCTACTCCTTTTGTTGCTTCATTGATTATTGTTTGTGTTCGTACAGTTGGAATACCCACCATAAAGTGGTGTGGATCAGAGGGTGACTACAATGTCATGGTGATGGAGCTCCTGGGTCCCTCGTTGGAAGATCTCTTTAACTTTTGTTCTCGACGCTTCTCGTTAAAGACTGTTCTACTGCTTGCCGATCAGCTGGTAAGTTTGCTCTCTATAATGTTGCGGCGTTACTCTCAAGCACGATGTATTTTGACAAATCCAAAAGTTAGTGCCCCCCTCTCCTCGATTTTAATATTAATAGTACTGGTGCATGTGTAATATTATCAAAGTTGCGCTCCACTTACCGAGCTCTCCAAGTGGGTCATTTTGACACTTTAATTTCTTTTTTCTTTTAAATTAAACAAAGATAAAAATTAGTTTGATAAATTTAGTCTGGAATTTTGGTAGTTGAGAACGTACCTTAATTGCATCCAGCTATTTTTGCTGGGTAAACGATTTTTAAAAAACACTTTCTTCAAAAGAAACAAAAATGAACCACATCTTTGATAAATATAGAACTGTTAAATATAGATTCGTCAGTGAAGAAAACAAAGTTGTATTTTCCGTTACACCTATAATATATTATCAGTACTACTTATCCAAGTTTGAAGAAACATTCAATTAGGCCCGTTATCGTTGTTGATAAACAATTTTTATCAAATATACTCCTAAACAAGTTAAAACTTGACTTTCTAAGAATCCCTGACTTTTTTTGAAATAAAAGCTTCCAGCAAAGTAAAGTTTCCACGTTTATTTTATAAAATCATCCTCTCATTTATTACGAGCAATCGACACAGCTATTGACCTCATGAGATGCATCACAGCCACATTCATAAATCATATCAACGCTATCGTTATAGGCACTAACATTTTCATTTGTTATACATAATCAGCAATTAAAGTCTTGGATATTGTTTACGTTTACCATACTTATGAATAACGAAATTTTTTTTCTTTTTTTACAGATCAGTAGAACGGATTACATACACAGTCGTAGTTTTATCCATCGAGATATCAAACCGGATAATTTTCTGATGGGGCTGGGAAAAAAAGGCAATCTTGTGTACATTATAGACTTTGGACTGGCGAAAAAGTATCGTGATGTGCGAACCAATACGCACATACCCTACCGGGAAAACAAAAATCTAACTGGCACAGCCAGGTCAGGCATACTCATTTATACCATGTTCAAGCTAACCGTTTCTACTTTCAACACGAGTAATGCTCATTGCTATTCCATACATTGCAGATACGCAAGCGTAAACACACATCTAGGAGTGGAACAGTCGCGAAGAGACGATCTCGAGTCGTTGGGCTACGTGCTCATGTACTTTAACAGAGGCAGTCTTCCCTGGCAGGGGCTCAAGGCTGCCACAAAGAGACAAAAGTACGAGCGCATCTCGGAAAAGAAAATGTCCACGCCGACCGAGGAGCTGTGCAAAGGCTATCCAGGTAAGTGAACACCCTGAAAAGGAACTGGAAATGATGATCTCTACACATTGTGGGCGGTTAATCGATCACACTTGGCTAACATTGCAGGCGAATTCGCAAAGTACCTGAGATACTGCAAGGAGTTGCGATTCGAGGAAAAGCCCGACTACTCGTACCTACGTCAACTGTTCCGTACCCTGTTCCACAGTCAAGGCTTCACGTACGACTACGTGTTCGACTGGAACATGCTTAAGTTTGGCAACGCGAGGCAGCCAGCCGCGTTGCCCCTTGCCCAGCAGCAACAGCAACACTCGGCAGCGGCGGCAGCTGCAGCGGCCGCAGCAGCAGCAGCGCATTCACAACAGGTGCCGAACAACTCCGCGGGCCTCGTCAACAACGAGCAGGAGCACCGATCGAGGTCAGTATTCCGGCGTGCCGCACCTGCGCCGCCGGCACGGCATTAGTTATCTCTAGCGTGGGTCCAGTGCTCGCGGGGACGGGGAGAACGAAACTTGTCTGATGATGCTTCTCTCCGTCTTGCGAGCGAGAGTGAGAGGATCGGGAAAAAGAGTGAGCTGTGTCTGTTGTGCGTATGTGAGTGTACGAGGGTAGCGCAATCAGCGCACGTATACACAAACACACCACAGGTCTTTTGATGATGCAATAAAATCAGCAGGAAAGCGACGACGAGCGTTCCCTGCAACGAACGTCCCTTGTGTGTTTATAAATAGTTTGGTCATCTCTCGGTTAGTGCGAGATAAGCGAGATCGAGAGAGAAAAACGCTCTGCCATCTTCTTCTATTCTCGGCGGCAACCCCTTCTTCTTCTACCACTACTTCGCTGTCACGCACTACCTCTTCTTCGTCTGTGCCTCAGACTCGCGCTCGAGAGAGTTACGTGCCAATCGAGATGAGTATCTTGCAAGACTTTTGTTTTTTTTTTCTCTCCCCTTCTGGCTTTTATCACATGAGACTCTCCTTGCAAGATCCCTGCATTGGAAGATTCACAAGAAAAATATATTTCACATAACAGTATGTGTACTTTAAATTGACCGATAACAAAAACAAAATGTTTGCTCATTGTTGCCGTAATTTATTTCCATACCTTTTTTTTTGTTTTTGTTTTTGTTTTTTCTTTTTTCATTCTTTTTTTTTTTTTTCCACACCATGCTTTAATTCATGATTTTTCATTTTTTTTTTTTTTTTTTTTTTTTTTTTTCTAGTTAATGGATTCTCTGATACATTATAGTTACAAATAATGATCTTAACGATTTTGTCATAACATCATTAACAAAGTTATTTCAATTTGTTAAAGGGTTGCTTTCATCTAGACTGGAGTGAAATGTATAAATAAACTTTATGTACATTATACTGGTTCTCAGTCGTAAATGTAATTTTCACTAAAATAAGCTATATGTATTGAATTTTACAACTTTTCATGTAAGAGCAAGTTAATGGTGGCTTAATTTTTTTCTATCATATTTAACAAGTTGTTGTGTTTATTTGATACATTTCGAATCGCGAGCGACTGTAATAATGACTAATACGAATTTCGTGCAACTTGTTGTGTTCCATGAATAGCACTGTAAAAATAACGCAAAAACCAGTTTAGTGGAATTTTTGTAAAATATAACAAAAATAAACAAAAGTAGTTAAGTTAAGATCTCTGGATAAGCAACCCTCGAATTAACTTGTTGTTTTTACTATCACAATATCATGTTCACGAATTATGTGTACTGTAAAATAAAGCAAAGTGTGTTAAAAAACCAAGTCATAACATAAATAGATGATTAAATCATAAAACAAGCATTTCTTTTTTTATTTGTCTTTCAATTTCCACCCCCTTTATTTTTTATCCATTTGTTTTTCATCAAGTCGTTATTATCATACATCTTCACGTTTTATTCATAAATTTTCCTCACGAATTCCATCTCGAGTTTCATATTTTTCATCGCAGATGAATCCAACTTACGTATAAGAAAAAAAAAAGAAAAAGAAAAAAAATGAAAATAAAGTAATCAATGCTAAGAAAATTTTATTAAATCATCACAAGAGAAAAACACCGTGGTGTTAAGACATGCGCCCTCGAGTGTTTGAAGAATGCGAGGTTCTCATCGTTGCACCGATGTCGCTGAGTATAAATACTTAATAACAAAAGAAGAGAGTGAATGAACGAGCGATAATTATGTATAGAGTGTGCGTTGACCTCGTCAACATTTCAGGCCGTACACACGCCAGTGCCTAGCGAACGCGTCGTCAGGAGTCATCGGTGGAGTTGGCGCGGGTCTCGTCGGGACCTCGGGCCGTAGTCGGCAGCAGCAGCACCAGCAGAACAAGTACAGCGGCGTAGTGGACGGCGTTTTGGACGTGGCGCGAGGAAACGCCGAGCAAATCGTCGGTGACTCCACGGCGCCCGACAAAAGCGAGCTCCAAGGTAAACTTGCTTCGCAAACAAGCCTCACTACAACTCACACTACTACAGCTCCGAACGCAGTGGCGTACAGGTCATCACCGGTCACTCCGATGAAGCAGCAGCAGCAGCAGTTACCACCTGCACCCACTTCCTCGCAGACTCCGAAACACAATAATAGTCACAGTAATAATAATGATAATAATAAAAATAATAACAATAATAGCCTTCGTTGCGCCACCGCCGTCGCCACCAACGCTGGTATGGGCAAGCCACCCCTTACGGGAGCACCCTGTCACTTTAGCACTTTCAAGTCGTCCAACCTTGCCGGTGGCGGCGGTGGTGGTGTCGTTCTCGTAAGCCGCTCTACGGCTACCCCGTGCGGCCTTCTCGAGCAACAAGCAAACTCACTCGACCTCGCGAGCCTTAGTCTGGGACGTCAGCGCGACGAGTACAACTACTCGACGAGCCCTAGACCCGAGCAACAGCAGCAGCAGCAGCAACAACAACAACAACAACAACAACAGTCGCAACAGTCGCCCCGTTCCTTCCAACAGCAACAGCAGCGCGTACATGAGCACACCGATCCTGAGCAGCGCCAACATGACAAGCAGACGTATTTTTTTCATGGGCATAAAACTGAGAAAGAGCTAGACCTCGAGCACAACTATCATCATCATCAGCATCACCAACAACAACAACAACAGCAACAGCAACAGCAACAGCAGCACAACTCCATGAACTGTTTCGGGAGTGTCGAGCGCAGGCAGCACCAGCAGCAGAACCAACGACCGTTGTCGGGCAACGTCGAGTTCACGGAGAAGGAGGGCGAGATCTTTCGCAAGAGCAGCAACGACCTTCTCCAGGAGCAGGCGAGCTCGTCCTCGGTCCTGCGCAGGCGCAACCTGTCGTCCTTCCGTTCTCGGGAGAAAGCCCACAAGTACAATTACAAGAGCCTCGAGTCGCTGGACCGAGCCTGGGCCTCGCCCGTCGTCCCCGGGGAGGCTCGCAGTCTCGATCTGTTGCCGGACGAGCGTTGCGAGTCGGCGCTCGCGACACCGATCAAGCACAGGAAACAGAAGAGCCTCGACTCAACGGGCAAACAGAGCCCGGCCAGGCCCAGCATTCTCCAGAGGATCGGTCGTAGTTTTCATTTTTTAGCCAAGCCGCCGCGCGAGCGGACCGCGCGAGAGCTAGTCGCCACTAGCGCTAAGCCGGAGTCGAGCCCTGGCGACAGCAACAGCGCCACCCCGCCGCTCGCAGGCGTTCAAAACAACGGGGAGGATTTTTTTGGCCGAGCCTCGCCGCGAACTGACGGCGAGCCTGACCCCGGCGACGATTCCCAGACGACCTGTCTGGAGGACCAGGAGCACCGACATCAGCAACAGGCGAGCCTGCTCGGCAGCAATAGCGCCAACAAGGACAGTCTGGAGATCGGCTACTCGATCAGCCAGCTGGGCAGGCTGTGCAAGCAGCACCAGGTGGATAAGTGCGAGCACAACGGCGAGCAGAGCTGGGATCGGTGCTTAGGCTGGATTAAAAAGGTGGATCTGGACTCGATCAGCGACTCGTCGCTGGGGCACTCGAAGCCTCAGGGCAAGCTGGACATACTCAAGGGCATACTGTTCGACATATTTGTCTGCATCTGCGTCTGAGATGCTGCTACTGCTGCTCGCGGTCACTACTGTCACCTGAGTCCGAGACTCTTGACAGAGATCTCTCTTTTCTTTTTTGTTTTGTTCCCTCTTGGGATTGATGTAACTACTATTACTATAATTATCACCATTGTAACGTGTTTTTGTTTTTCCTGTACGTGATGTTCCCTCGACTAAGGCTATTGTTGGTTTAAAAAAAAAAAGAAGAAGAGAAAAACAGTTCATGCATATTACGATTAAGGCTAGCTAATACCATTTCATTAGTTTATTAAATACTCAAACATGGTCATTCTCCGTGTTGCATACGTACACTTGAAAAAAGACAAACAAAAAAAATAATTTACAAGTGTCACTTGGTTGTCATGATTTTACGTGTTAATCATTATCATAACTATTATACCATATTATATTATAATTGTTACACTTCTGTGCGCGATGCTCTTGCATCCGTAAATTATACTCAAACCTGTAATATTATGTAATATTGTGTTAGTGAAAAGCTGAAACCGGACGAGGCGGCGTTAACAGTACGGTTTAGGTGAAATGTGTTGCCTGATAAATGATTAGCCTTCTGTGTGCTCCCATGTACGCCTCGGCACGGGTGGACTTTTGTCGATTAATCGACGAAGCGTTGCGAAACTATTATTATTTTCTTGGAATTGAATCCGTTGGTCTTTCTCCTTGACCAAGGAAGACAAGTCTTTGTTTAGAATTTTTTTTTTTATACATTAGTTGTTCCACTTTTAACAAACTTTGTACTGCCAACCGAGTCATTTACTAACACGAGTGCCCAACTATTCCAGAGACTGAACGCGCGAAAAATGCAATTTTTAGAACTAATCATACACAATGCCTACTTAAAGGTCAAACCCAAAAGTCTGATGAAATGGTTCTTATATACGTTTTGCGATCTATTTCAATTTCACCCCGTGCGCAATCAAGTAACTACGGTGCATTTAAGATTTCTCACCGAAATTTTTTCCCCCACTTCTCGTATCGTATACTTACACGTGATCTTTTGCGGATTTTTGTACAGTCAAGCCTTTTTTATTTGTAACTTGTACACCTACCGGTTAAGTGCGAGAACGAAAGTCATTCTCCCCCTTTTTTTCCCGTTTACCAAAGTTTAAGATATACGTATTGTAACCCATACACACACAAAATAGTCAAACGCATATACACTGGTCGAGTGTGCTTATTTTACATTTTCTCTTTTGCAAACTAAAAAAGCCGCTGTGCTTCTGATTTGGTCTCGCGCTCACTTGCGTACGTATCCTTGAGTATAATATATAAGTACGAGCGTCGAAACAAAAGGGATCACGTTTTTTGTTGTTTTCTCTTGGGCAATTGCCAGCGAGATTTTCCTCTCCTCCCACCTTTTTTTGTTTTGTTTTACCCTCTCAGTGAGGAGATCAAAGAAACTATTTACGAATCACATGTGTCATATCGAACCAACTTGCAGTGTGTATCAGAGTGAAGAAGAGCATTTTTAACTTCAGAAAACGCTTTTCGATCATATTTTTGTATAAGGCTACAATGTATTCCCGCCACGCAAACATAGCGGGTTGCAATATATTTATATACGTCCAGTGAGAGAATGAAAATCGAAATGTTTCCTATATAAGATTATCATTAATGTCGTATGAAGTATATACTTATCATCGTCACGAATGAAAAAAAAAAAAAAGAAAAAAAAAAGCAAGCAAACTAATTTGTCATTGCAACTCGACAGCTTTCTACATATGCCATATACATTCACACACATATATATTTATATGCCCATCGAGTTGTTTTTCCCATCCGTTTTTTATTACTATTATTCTGTTTGGTTTATTCTTTTACCCAAACTTGATTTTTTTTTTGCACTTAAATTATAAACGATATTTTGTTTCCTTTACCGATTTATATACATGCTCTTCTTTTTGTCTCATCCACCTATTGTAATCACGGTTTTTTCGTTTTTTTTTTTAATGGTAAATTATAGACTGTTCTTATTATGATGATGCTGAGAAGAAAAAAGTAAAAATAAATGTTTTTCCATTCAAGGACTGGCCTGTTTTTTTATTTATTCACACCACTCATTTCAAAATTTTCTCTCTCACTTGGCTTGAATGGAAAAACCTACGCGATTGATTTATGTTTTTAAAAATAATAATAATGATTATTATGTACATAAAAAAGGCACGTCCGGTTATTTTGCGATTCTTTATTTTATGTTGATAATTCATTTGTTACTTTTAAAGGTAACTTTGTTCATCAAACCCAATCAATAAATATTGGTGAAGAATCTTTGAAAAATCGGATGCCGATTTTTTCGTGATTGTTTAATCGTTCGCGTAAATATGTTTTATTCGCATTATAATATTATTATCATTGTCGCCAATTCAATATCGCTTTGTCAACGATTCTAATGTATATATTTTTCTTATATTGTACCCAGAGAAAAGGCTTACGGTAATGCTTACTGTGAATATTGCTTCAAATTTTGGGACGTCATTTCTATTACAATAATGTTAACTTGAGTTTTTGGTAAAGATTAACGCGGTTTGAAGATAAAATTTATCAAAAAAATTGCTAAAATTTTCTGCTGATTATCTTACCACCATGAGTGACATATTTCGAGTGATATTGCTAACGTGAAAACTTTTATCGACAAAACAAATCAAGTCAATGACCTTTTTGTTGATAAGGATTTTGAAACGAACAGCATACTGGGAAAACTGCCGTATTTTTTGGTAAATTTAACTAAAAACTCTTGAAAAGATTATTTTAACAGAAAACTTGTGGTTTTCACAGTAAAAAATAAAAATACATTGCTCTAGGCCTTTTTCTTTGCGTACATCTTTATCATGAAGCAGCTTTCATTATTTTAATGGCATTAACATTTTCACTATTCAGCTTTAATTCGGTTTTTATTCATACGATTCATATTTTGTTTCGTTAATTTTTCCATTTCAATGGCCAAGCGTGAAAGATCATCCTTACCGTTGTCCTTTATAACGTGGGATTCGTTGATTTCGCAAAAAGAAAAAAACCGTATTTTTTTTAATTCACTAATCTAAACAATAAATATTCATCACTACAAACATTTGTTAAAAAAATTTTCAACTAAGAATGAATCTCACATTATACGGAACAACGCAGACAAGAACATAATGATTTTTATTTTGTAGAAAGTAAAAAAGTGAAAAATATGAAAGTTTTTATTTTAAGAATGAAACATCAAGTTAATGGTTATGCATTTGTAATGTCTGCAACGGAAGCTCGTTCCACGCTAGTGCCAACATTATTGCATTTTTTAAGTGGTGTGGGGTAAAGTGACGGTGGGTATAATATACAACGTATTTTCAGCACTGTCTTTTTTTTGCTCCTCTTGAGTGTCTTTTTCTCTGTCACATTTTTCATTGATTTATTTACTTTTTTTTTTTTTCTTCAATTTTTTCTTTGTTGAAATGTTTTTTTTTTTTTCTTGCNTTTTTTAGTACAAATTAAAAGGACTAATGTCACCAAGTTAGAATCCCAAACCTTCCACCATCCAAGGAGGTTATCTTCATTTCATCTGACATGTTTTTACCTAGACAAGAAAAATAAAAATTTTGGTACGTAAGACTAATGAATGGTTTCAGTGTTTCGCAATGAAATTAATGGTTACTGGCCAGACGACCGAGAACTATTTGTTGCTAAAACTATTTAACTATTTAAAACAATTTTTTTTTTTTCATAGTCAAGTCAACTATTTTGTTTTTTCGGTATATTTGACGTATACCCTCCGTAGTAATCAAGGTCCCATCCCTTGGTTGCACATCATTAATCTTCCATTAGACGATTCGTACAACCCACTCTAAATGCACATTGTACCCAAACTCGACCTTCTTTTGTCAAAGTTAGAATACACAAAAGGATAACTTCATGAAAAAAGAGGATATGATGAAAAAAAAAAAAAAAAAAAAAAAAAAAACTTTTTACGAATGAAAAAGGATGAAAAATAATGTTTATCTCACTTGATGTTTTTTTCAGTTTCGGGTGGAGTCGGCCAGGAGCGAAGGGTCAGCGTACGACTGACGCATCGCGGTAACGCAGCCGCAGCAGCGGCGGCGGCGGCTGTGGGTGACATGCCACCTAAATCCAAGTGAGTTGCTTTTACAATTTCATCGAAATTACAATAAATTTTTCGTACTGGGGTCTTTTGCGACGATATTGGGGCATTTTGGATTCGTTTGTGGTCTTCAAACTAAGAATGGTACTTTGATTGCCGTAATTAACAGAGTTTGTTATTTTGTGGCCATATTTATATTTTTACTAATCATTAAACTACATTTGGAAATACATTTGTTAAAATGTTTTTTTATGGAAATAACAGCTTCTAATATATCTACTAATAATTTTTTTTATCACGTTTAACAAAGGTCTTAGATAACTGAATGCTCATAACCACACAGTTGTACGTTTATAAGTAAAAACTTAAATATATTTATGCTTTAATACATTAGTTGTTCCACTTTTAACAAACTTTGTACTGCCAACCGAGTCATTTACTAACACGAGTGCCCAACTATTCCAGAGACTGAACGCGCGAAAAATGCAATTTTTAGAACTAATCATACACAATGCCTACTTAAAGGTCAAACCCAAAAGTCTGATGAAATGGTTCTTATATACGTTTTGCGATCTATTTCAATTTCACCCCGTGCGCAATCAAGTAACTACGGTGCATTTAAGATTTCTCACCGAAATTTTTTCCCCCACTTCTCGTATCGTATACTTACACGTGATCTTTTGCGGATTTTTGTACAGTCAAGCCTTTTTTATTTGTAACTTGTACACCTACCGGTTAAGTGCGAGAACGAAAGTCATTCTCCCCCTTTTTTTCCCGTTTACCAAAGTTTAAGATATACGTATTGTAACCCATACACACACAAAATAGTCAAACGCATATACACTGGTCGAGTGTGCTTATTTTACATTTTCTCTTTTGCAAACTAAAAAAGCCGCTGTGCTTCTGATTTGGTCTCGCGCTCACTTGCGTACGTATCCTTGAGTATAATATATAAGTACGAGCGTCGAAACAAAAGGGATCACGTTTTTTGTTGTTTTCTCTTGGGCAATTGCCAGCGAGATTTTCCTCTCCTCCCACCTTTTTTTGTTTTGTTTTACCCTCTCAGTGAGGAGATCAAAGAAACTATTTACGAATCACATGTGTCATATCGAACCAACTTGCAGTGTGTATCAGAGTGAAGAAGAGCATTTTTAACTTCAGAAAACGCTTTTCGATCATATTTTTGTATAAGGCTACAATGTATTCCCGCCACGCAAACATAGCGGGTTGCAATATATTTATATACGTCCAGTGAGAGAATGAAAATCGAAATGTTTCCTATATAAGATTATCATTAATGTCGTATGAAGTATATACTTATCATCGTCACGAATGAAAAAAAAAAAAAAGAAAAAAAAAAGCAAGCAAACTAATTTGTCATTGCAACTCGACAGCTTTCTACATATGCCATATACATTCACACACATATATATTTATATGCCCATCGAGTTGTTTTTCCCATCCGTTTTTTATTACTATTATTCTGTTTGGTTTATTCTTTTACCCAAACTTGATTTTTTTTTTGCACTTAAATTATAAACGATATTTTGTTTCCTTTACCGATTTATATACATGCTCTTCTTTTTGTCTCATCCACCTATTGTAATCACGGTTTTTTCGTTTTTTTTTTTAATGGTAAATTATAGACTGTTCTTATTATGATGATGCTGAGAAGAAAAAAGTAAAAATAAATGTTTTTCCATTCAAGGACTGGCCTGTTTTTTTATTTATTCACACCACTCATTTCAAAATTTTCTCTCTCACTTGGCTTGAATGGAAAAACCTACGCGATTGATTTATGTTTTTAAAAATAATAATAATGATTATTATGTACATAAAAAAGGCACGTCCGGTTATTTTGCGATTCTTTATTTTATGTTGATAATTCATTTGTTACTTTTAAAGGTAACTTTGTTCATCAAACCCAATCAATAAATATTGGTGAAGAATCTTTGAAAAATCGGATGCCGATTTTTTCGTGATTGTTTAATCGTTCGCGTAAATATGTTTTATTCGCATTATAATATTATTATCATTGTCGCCAATTCAATATCGCTTTGTCAACGATTCTAATGTATATATTTTTCTTATATTGTACCCAGAGAAAAGGCTTACGGTAATGCTTACTGTGAATATTGCTTCAAATTTTGGGACGTCATTTCTATTACAATAATGTTAACTTGAGTTTTTGGTAAAGATTAACGCGGTTTGAAGATAAAATTTATCAAAAAAATTGCTAAAATTTTCTGCTGATTATCTTACCACCATGAGTGACATATTTCGAGTGATATTGCTAACGTGAAAACTTTTATCGACAAAACAAATCAAGTCAATGACCTTTTTGTTGATAAGGATTTTGAAACGAACAGCATACTGGGAAAACTGCCGTATTTTTTGGTAAATTTAACTAAAAACTCTTGAAAAGATTATTTTAACAGAAAACTTGTGGTTTTCACAGTAAAAAATAAAAATACATTGCTCTAGGCCTTTTTCTTTGCGTACATCTTTATCATGAAGCAGCTTTCATTATTTTAATGGCATTAACATTTTCACTATTCAGCTTTAATTCGGTTTTTATTCATACGATTCATATTTTGTTTCGTTAATTTTTCCATTTCAATGGCCAAGCGTGAAAGATCATCCTTACCGTTGTCCTTTATAACGTGGGATTCGTTGATTTCGCAAAAAGAAAAAAACCGTATTTTTTTTAATTCACTAATCTAAACAATAAATATTCATCACTACAAACATTTGTTAAAAAAATTTTCAACTAAGAATGAATCTCACATTATACGGAACAACGCAGACAAGAACATAATGATTTTTATTTTGTAGAAAGTAAAAAAGTGAAAAATATGAAAGTTTTTATTTTAAGAATGAAACATCAAGTTAATGGTTATGCATTTGTAATGTCTGCAACGGAAGCTCGTTCCACGCTAGTGCCAACATTATTGCATTTTTTAAGTGGTGTGGGGTAAAGTGACGGTGGGTATAATATACAACGTATTTTCAGCACTGTCTTTTTTTTGCTCCTCTTGAGTGTCTTTTTCTCTGTCACATTTTTCATTGATTTATTTACTTTTTTTTTTTTTTTTT